ACCAACTGTCGTCCCGCTCCAGTCCCCCAAAGCGGAGACAACATGGGGACTACGCGATGCGCCGACACCTCCAGGCGTGTGTATCTGTGTGCCTGCGTGCGAGTGTGCGTGTATATATGCGTGCGGGTGTGGGTGGGTGGGTGGGTGCGGGTCCGGGATCCCCATGTCCCGGCCTCGCTTGGCGTCGTAGACCGGCGCAGAGGTGTGTGCGGGGGCCGGTGTAACCCATGTGCCGCCTCCCTAGGCCCGGCGGGACGGCTCTGGCCGCGCGAATATTCAGTATTTCTTGTTGTGGCTTTTTAAGGTTCATAGTTGTTCTTGTTTTTTTTCTTCACCCTCCTCGCGGTCTGGCAGCCCCGTCCGGTCCCGAAGGCCTGACCCATGGTTGGCTGGGTTGCCATGCCCGGTCCCTTGGGGGGGGGGGGGGGGGGGGGTGCCCGCTGGCGGGTGTCCGCACCCCGCCTCCAGGGTCCCAGGCGGCCAGGGCGGTTGGCTGGGGGCTGGTGGGGCCTTTGTTTTGGGGGTCCCCCCGTGAAGTCCCCTATGTGTGGCCGTCTCCCCCGCGGGGGGCTCCCGGGGGGGGGGGGGCCCGGGGGAGAAAAAGGGGGGGGGGGGGGGGCCTCCCCGGGGTCCCCCCCCCCCCCCCCCTGCGTGCCCTCCCACGGCTGATCTCGCCAACGAATGATTTCCCGACCCCCTCCCTCCCGAGTCCCTCTTTCCGGCGGCCTGTGCCCGCTTCTGGCCTCCCTGTGTGCAGTGTACTTCACTGTCTCACCCTCGCGCCCCTCTCGGCCTGCCTGTCGACAGCGCCTCTGGCGACCGGGACCCCCCCCCCCCCCGGCTGAGGCTTTCAGGGAGCAGCCCGACGACCCCACACCCCCCAGGGCTTCTGCACTTCCCTCCTCCCCTCCCCTCCGCCCGCCTCCACACTCATCATCTCCATCCGCCCGTGCGCCGCTGCCGCTCCCCCCCTCCCTCCGCCTCGTCCCCCTGCGCAAGCACTCGCCGACACCCGCCCTTCAGGCGGACGTGACTTTCCTTTTCTTCCCCGCCCCTTCGCCGACCTGCGCGCCCGCCCGCCCGCCGTCAGGAGACCGACACAATGGCGCATCCTTTCGCCAGCTTCGGCACCTTCGACCCAGAGCCGAGGGACCAGCTCCCGGTGTTCTTTCCTCGTGGCGGGCCTGATGACTTTCCCTCGGATCCGGATGTGGCCCAGGCCAGCATGCCGCTGCTGAGTGATGACTTCTTCAACACCGATGCCCGGCATCCGCCCTACGGCCCGACGTCCGAGTCGATTTTCTCCTTCTATCCCCCTCCGGGCTGCATGGTGCGCTTGCGCTTTCCTCTCTGCTTGCCAAGGTAGTCCCTATGTGACTGACCCTACTCTTTTTTGTCTTTCTCTCTCTCTCCTCCCTTATCCTGTATGTATGTATGTATGTATGTGTGTATGTATGTATGTGTGTATGTATGTATGTGTGCGTGTGTGCGTGTGTGCGTGTGTGCGCCTGTACACCTATGTACTTGCTGTGCCCAGACGGCCGAGGAGCAGGTGGTCGCCCTGCAGAAGCGCCTGACCATTCACAAGGTCTTTCGACTGGTGGTACGTCCTCTCCTTGCCACCCGGCTCCGTGTCCGGGTTCGACTCCAGGGTCTTCTCGTGCTTCTCGCGCTCCAGCGTTCTGATACCCTGTGTTCCCTCCCCCCCCCCCTCTCTCTCTCTGCTCTTTTTGCGTCTCTCCACCCCTCCCCCTCTCCACCCCTCCCCCTCTCTTTCCCTCTCACCATCTCTCTATTTTCTCGTCTCCTCTGGCTCCTGTGTCGCGACCGCGCGCAGTATGTCATTTTCCTGATCGGCGATACGGCCATGATCATCGCCTCATTGCTTGGTGCGAATCCTGCCCGACCCTCAAATAGTCTGCCCTCGACCGACAGCCCCTCGCTTGGCCGATGCCCTTCCTGACCTCCCATCGCAGCTGGCCTGTCGCTACACAATGCCGGCCTCTTGTGCCTGGTGCCGGCGATTCTTCTCCTCTGGGTGTGTCTTCTGTGCTGTTTCCGCATACGCGCTTTCCAAGGCGGCCTGTCGCCCATGCTAACTCTCCCCCCTTGTGTCCATCTGTCTGTCTGTCTGTCTGTCTGTCTGTCTGTCTGTCTGTCTGTCTGTCTGTCTGTCTGTCTGTCTGTCTGTCTGTCTGTCTGTCTGTCTTTCTGTCTGTCTGTCTGGCTGGCTCCTCCCCCGCCCATCCTCCCATCGATCCCTGGCGCGCCCATGTCCATGCGCAGATTTCTGTCACCCGCATCGGCCAGCTGGTTCTCATCATCGAGCGCATTGAGCGCAGTGGCATGTACATTGACACCGGCCCGGCACTGGCCGGGGGCGCCACCTCGTCGACGGCCGTGCATCCGGTCTTCCCGGAAGCCGGGCTGCCAACGTCCGCAGGGCCTGGACCCGATGGACACCCTCCCCCGGCCGAGGGGGCCCCCGGGCTGCAAGGAGGTCATATCTCCCGCAAGCTGGCCACCATGGATCCTGTGTTGCAACGGTATGAGTCGCAATTCGAGGAGGACGAGAAGGCCGCCGACGAGTATGAGGCCTTCCGGGCGTCAGTGAGCATGGCCGGTGCGGCCGCCGCAGCTGCCGGGGCCAGTGCAGCCACTACAGAGCCCGCCTCGCCGGCTGGATCTGTCTCGTCCGTGCAGTCGTCCCTCTCCTCGTCCAGCCCGAAAGTCCCGCTGCTAGACGGCTCCTTGTAATGTCCTAGCCTCCCCCCCCCCGCCTGTCCTTGAGGAAGAATACAGTCATGTCTTCACCGGGGTTGCCTCTCTCTCTCTCTCTCTCTCTCCCTCTCTTCCCCTCTCTGTCTGCCGGCTTTCCCACGCGCCCCCCCGCCTTTATGTCTCTGTTTCTCTCCCCCACCTCTCTGCCATGTCATGCCCGGGTTTTCCTCACCCCCTCCATCGTCATCCATCCTTCAGGCACGCTGGGCATGAAGGCGGCGCGTGCGCATCTTCTGACATGTATGTATGGGTGTGTCCGGGAGGGCCAGGGGAGAAGGGGGACACCCCCTGCTGGTGGTCTTCCTGGTAGGCGGCCACCGCCCTTTTGCTGTTACATGACCTGGCAACCGAAGGAGGCCTCTCCACTGAGTGCCAGTTGGTGATTAGGCGATGAGCGCGCGGCGTGAGCAGCGCGCGCGGCGGCCACCGCGCTGGGTGGGGCCTCCAGCGTGACCTTGAGCCCGCGGCGGCGGGCAGCCAGGCGAAGCGCCCGCTGGGCCGCGGGGCCTGGTCGCGGGGGTCCCTGCCCGGACACGCCGGGCAACTGGCGCAGCGGCCGTTCTGGCGAGCCAATTGGCGTGCCCTGGGTGTACGTCAGGCCCATTGTACAGGCGGAAGCCACGCTCCAAAAGTCACCTCTCTGAGCGTTCGGCATGCACCCGTGTGTGTGTGTGTGTTAGTATGGCCCGAGGGGTGCGGTGACGCGGCCGGCTTTTGTCGCACCGTCTGGATGAGCATGCGGTCTGGCCGCGTGCGGAGATCCTCTTGAAGCAGCTCCGCCGAAATGCTGCGGCACTGGCAGCCCGGTTGTTGACCGTCTGGGGGGGCGCCCCCCGTCCCGGCTGGGGGGGTTGCTGTTCCGTTCGTGGAGGCGCTCGCCCCCATGGACTGCGTGGCCACCTCGCCTGGTGGAGATCTGGTTGCCGGGGCCGCCAATGGGCTGGCGGCCGAGCCATCCGGGCTGGAGGGCGACACAGCGGGACTGGAGGGCGACACAGCGGGACTGGAGGGCGACACAGCGGGACTGGCGGCTCCCTCGCTGCCGGGGTCCTGCAAGACTGGCGTGGCAATCTTCAAGTCAGCCGCCGGCCCTCGGGGGGCCGGGCTGCCCTCCGGAGGACTGGGCACTCCGAGCGCCGGACTGCCAGGCGCCACCTCGGGCAGGGGGTAGTCGTCCGGGTCGGCGGTTTCCCCGTCGAAGAGTGCCATGACGCGGTGGGCCACCACGGTGCGGGCGGCCGGGTGCCCCAGGCCGCGGCAGCAGTCCGGAGCCACGGCGGTGCGCGAGCGCTCGCTCGACTGCCCGGTGCAGTGCCGCGACCAGGCGTCACTGTGGCGCGCGCGCGTGGAAAGGCAAACCCAAAAAGGCACCAAAGGAAAATACATGTACGGGCGTGTGCACGCGTGAAAGCGACAGTCAGTAACGGCCTAGTGAGGACACCGGTCGCGGGCTCTTCTGCCATGGTGGCCGTTGTCGGCCCAAGGGCCCGGGCGGATACGCACAAGAAGCCCATGGCGGAGGCCTGCTCGACCATGCTGGCCCCGGCCACCGGGCCGGCATAAATGCAGTCGGTGGCGCGCCAGCCCGGCTGGCGCTGGACGCTGGCCAGGCCTTGGAGGACGCCCGGATGCGCGTCGAAGGTGGCCAGCGTGGTGCGGCGAGCGTTCAGCCCGCAGAGCATCATCATGACCGGGGCATCTGGCAGGACCACCACCAGCGAGGGCCGGATGCGCGAGAGGATCATCAGCCCGGCGGCGAAGGCCATGCTGTCGCGCGGGGCCGGTGGCGTGACGCAGTACATTCGTTGGATGGTGATGCACGAGAGGATGGCCGCCCGGGCGGGATCGCTGACGCGCTGCAGGAGGATCACCTCTGGCAGCCCGGTGACCAGGGTCTCCGGGTCCAGGGTCAGTGCCGCGCCCGGGGCATCCGGGTCCCCGCCGGGGCCGAGGCGGAAGCTGGCCACGGTGGTCCGAGCACAGACGTCCATCGCCTCGTCCACCGACGGCGGGGGGGTGTCACTGGGCTGTGGCGTGGGGTGGTTGCGGCCCGGATTGGAGCCCCGGGGTTCGCGAGGGCGCGTGTTAGTGCGGTGGCCATGGTCACAAGGCGGGCAAGGCAGAGGGAGAGAGCTCCAAAAATCACCGGCCGACACGCTGGGGACCGGGGAGCGCGTCCGTGGCTACCGGAGGCGAAAAAAAGGCCCCCGGCCAGGCGGAGGGCCTAATGGCGACGCACCATCCACTTGCCCCGGTCGAAGATCAGCGCGTCACATTGCCAGATGAGCGGGTCGTCCGCGGGGTGGTCCTCGGTCAGGGGCGGGGCACCGGCCGAATCGCCGGCGTGGCCCGTCGACGCCGGCGCCGGCAGGAAGTCCATGGCGCGGGCGCGTCGAGCGCGGCGCCCCATCCGCGGCAAGGCCCGACCGGTCCGACGGACGGCGGCAAGCACCTGTGCCGCGGTCCTTTCCGCAGGCATTTGGAGTCCTCGGCGCAGGGAGGGAGCCTGGCCGGCCAGCGCGCGACCGGCCGCCAGGAGGGCGTCCTGGGCGCGGGCCCGGCGCCGTGCGGCCTTGCGCTTGGCCGCCAGGCTGGCCGTGGCCAGGGCGATCTCCCGCCGGCGAGCTTGGTCCGTTTGCAGGACCGAGTTGGCCCGGGACCCGTCGGCCAGGAAGGCGCGCAGGAGCTTGCGCAGGTCGGGCCCCGGGCCGGGGTCCGACGCGTCGTCCTGCCAGCCAGCAGCGGCACGGCCCCCGGGCCGGGCCTCGGCCGCCTCGGCCGCCGACGCGGGCAGGAGGTACTCGCGTACCGGGCGGAAGAGGTCCCGGCGAATGTCGGTCCCCTGGAACAGACGCTCGGACACATGCTGCAGGCAGGTCTCCGGCAGGGGTCCCACATACTCCGGGCCGCCTGGCACCAAGTACGCGTCGATAATCTCCCGGGCCATGGCCTCCAGGACATCGCGGCCCTGTTCGACCGTGCCCTCGCCGAGCATGAGGGCTGCCCGCTCGAACTCCAGGCACCGCCAAAAGAGGTACGCCGCATTGAGGGCACGCTGGGTGCGAGTCGAGCGTCCGGCCCCAGCAGCCAGGGCGTGGGCCTCAGCTTCCGCCTCCTCCATGTCTCGCTCGTCCGCCCCCTCGACCAGCTCCTCCAGCCGGGGCCCATCGGCCGACTGCCGGTCTGCGTCATCCGGGGAGCCCGCCTGGTGGCGCATGTCGTCCGAGTGGGCATGGCCATGTGCCGAGGTGGTCGGGGGGTCGGGCTTGCCGCCGGTGGCCGTCTTGTGGCCGGCCAGTCGGCGGAGGCGCTGGCGAAGACGTGCCCGGCGGCCGGTGGCCGTGTCACGAGCTTCGCGCACATCATTGTCCGCCTGGCTATTGGCGAAGTCCACCAAGGCCAGCAGGGCGTCCGGGTCGCCGAGCAACGCGCGCAAGGAGATGCTCACCGAGGACAAGCCACGCTGGTGGTCTTCCAGCTGGACCAGCGGGCCGGCCGGGTGCCGGGCATCGCCAGCCCCCGGGGCCGGGCTGGTCAGGCCGGCCAGCAGGAGCGATGCCGCGGCCGTGGTCGACACCGCGCCAAACATGGCGGACAGAGTCTCGCCGGTGTCGCGGTGCTCCACGAAAAACAGGTCATCCCCCGGGGGGGCGTCGTCCTGGCCCGGGGCCCGGTCCTGCTGCTCGCACAAGGTCCGGCGTTCGACCGGCCACTCGTCATAAATCTCCCCGGTCCAGACGGCCAAATTGACATTGGCCAGCAGGGGGTCGCCGATGCGGGCCAGCGCCCGAGCCGCGCGCAGTCGGATCGCCACATCGAAGGAGTCCGGCTCTTCCAGGGTGTCCAGATCCCCCTCGGCCGGCGCGGCAACCACGGCATTGGTGGCCGCCTGCCGGGCCAGGGCGTCCAGCAGCCCGGGCAGCTGCTCGGTCAGGGCCGCATGTACCAACACCCCGGTCCAGTTGGCGGCGAGCTGCGCAACGAATGGTTGGTTGGTTGGGTGGTCGGGTTGCCGGGCGGCCGGGCACCAGGGAGGTGGTCGATGGACAGGAAGGGCCGCGAGGGCGACGGCCGCGAGGACAGTGGCCGTGGCATGGATAAACATATATGTGCGTGTGTCAGGCAAGAGAATGGCAGACACCCCCCCCCCCCCCTCCTGGGTCTTGACGAGGGCCAGCAGGAAAGGGCGGCCGGCAGGGGCTCTCCACGTACCCCGAAGCAAGCCCAGGTGCCGGCGATGAACCACTGCATGCAAATGTACCAGTCATCCAGGGCATTGGCCACACGGGTGCGCGTGGCCGAGTCTGCGGCATCCGGACAGAGCCGGCGTTCGACGAAGGGCGGGATGTGCACGGCCCGCTGGCCGGCCGACCGACCGCGAATCAGCCCGGCATCCAGCTTGCGCTGCGATCGACGCAGATGCCGGAAGATGCGCCCGGCCGCGGCAGTATCTCCATCGAGCTGACCGCCGGGGCACGGCGCGGAGGGGTAGGGAAGAAAAGGATGGCCAAGCAGCAGCAGCAGCAGCAGCAGCAGCAGCAGCAGCAGCAGCAGCAGCAGCAGCAGCAGCAGCAGCAGCAGCAGCAGCAGCAGCAGCAGCAGCAGCA